GAAAGGTCGGCGAACAGTTCGAATCCACTCCGAAAATTTGGAATTTATGCTCATGCCTCAAATGCTTTTTTGGACTGACAAACATAGGCCGAATTAAATATCTCAAATATTTATTCAAACTGGAATACGTAAGCATTCAATTTTATCGACATGACATCGAATATAGGGTTTGTGCCAATATTCTCCAATTGTGAAAGAAAATTATATAATTTTTCTTCAAATGATGAATTGTGTTTGCCAATAAAAAGGAAGAAAAGGTTTCTTTGCCTATGCCATGATATTTGAAACAGTCAATTTTCCATATCGATCATGGCCATTTCCTCAAAGAATGTTCACCGCATTGAAATAAATTTCACCAAAATATCGTATCCGAGTGTCGAAAAATCAATTTATAAATGTATCGTTGAATATAACGTTTTTCCCTGTGTCTTGTGCAGGTTCAATGATGACTGGTACTCATCGAAAAATTTTCCAAAGAATTACATTAAACATATAGCTGCGAATTTCACGGGTGAAGTCCCTGAAAATTCGGCTATTGAAGATAAATCAAACTTTTCGACTCAATCAAAACCTTTCGGCGGGTTTCATTTCTGCCAGCGGATAAATTTCCACATCACGATTTCGTCGATCTTCCTTTTGAAAGGACCTTATTGAGTGAGAAATCGCATAAAAATTGAAATTGAATAAAAATTTGAAATCGAATTGTCTCCGGTGATTGACAGAACCGTAAGAGCTTTTTGTTGTTGTAAAGAATATTACAAAACGAAAATTTTGTTGAAAGGCCCGCATCATCGCCGTCGACCGACCGGAATTATGCAACAACAAGAAAAAGCATCTCATCGGAACACAGCAGCGAAAAGGAATAATAATAAAATACGATACGTAAATTCGTAGCCCGAGAAGAAATGAATGCCAAGATAATAATACATAAGTTCCCTTCTTTTTTTTTCTTTTTTGGTCTGAAGTTACGACGCCGAACGACGACCAAACTGCTGCTGCTGATGCTTGAAGGCCGATTGATGACAGATCAAAAACTATTCGTCACGGGGGCGTCGTCCAGAGGCGGTAAATCACGGAACTGGCGCCGACATTTCAACCCTACTCTGCGCGGCGCCGTTTTCCCCATGCTCGTAATTTCCGACCCAATGTATCGCCCCCGGGGAGGAATCCTGTAACTTCTATATGCACTGTAACCTGATCCACTTTGGTCCTGTCGGAAATACTTATTGTGAAAATGGTGTTTTTTTTTTGTCAGAGACCCTCATGCAGGTCTCAAACAAAGAAATTTGCAAAAATAAAAGAAATGCACACTAGGCTGTTTGCGGCCAAGACCAAGTCTCCAGGAACTGATGTACCGTATTTACTCAAGTACCACATGCACCTTTTTTTTCCCAAATTTCAGAAGAAAAGAATGGGTGCGTGTCATAAGTGGGTACAAAATTTTCAAGAAGTTCTAGGGAGTTATGTGTGCATTATACTTAATTATAATGGAGAAATTTGGACCAAATATTACAAGTAAACATTTTTGTACTGAAAAAGTTAAAAATTCATCAGAATTTTGTTCAATTCATGCCTAAAGTCAAATTTATTTTTATTTTTAAAATTTCATGGTTTTAGATTCGCTAAAAATTGGGGTACGTGTCTTACTAGGGGATCAGATTTTTGCAAAATTTTCAACTGAAAACCCCCTGTGCGCACCTTACTAGTGGCTAGTGGCACTCAAGTAAATACGGTAATTTCAAATTTCACAATTTTGATGAACAATGGTATCCACTTTCAGATTCAGCACTTTTGAAACAAACAGCACCAAGTCACAAAGCAGAGTGAAAATCTTTGGTGGTTTCAAGGTTTGGAGTTGGGAAGAAATCCAGTTTTTTGGCAGACTGGTTTTCCATGGTCAGTGAGTTTTTAGAGTTGGAAGTGTGTTGAATTGGAAATGTTTGATTTTGGTGTTTGTGGCAAGTATTGTTAATTTTGTGTCTTGGGTGACCTCTAGGGGTCCCTGATATTTCTTATGGCTTTTGGATCAATCAGAAACAAAACAAAAAAGCATTTTGGGCAGCTTGGCTTGAGAAAAGCATAATGCTTTCAGCAGAAACTGTCATGGGTCAGTTGATTTCTTCCTAAGAAATCAGGTGAATTCTTTCTGACCCAGTCTGAGCACCTGGGTATAAAAGGCTTTTTTCCTCTTTGAGAGGAGAAGTGAGAATCTTGTCTGAAAAGGGCATTTTACCTTGAATTATCTTATTCATTCTTCTGAGCTAACCAACCAATCTTATAATTGACTCTAGGTTTCTGCAAACAGCAGTAGTAAAACAATCTATTTGGAAAAGTGATTTTTTGCGAAAGCAAGGACTTCCAGAAAGTTCTAACGCTCCCCTCTCCCATTTTTCCTGACAATACCATTGCAGCTTTTTTTTATCATGCTCGTAATTTCTGACCAGCTGTTTTGTCTTATATGGTACCTCAACTACAGCTTTCATGGTCATTTTTAAATGATAATATTCTCAAGAAAGATAGCACTGTTCACGAAAAATAATTGGGTGCAGATTGATTTACAGAATCGTGAATAGCCGCTGGCCGGAACTCAGAGCACGATTTTCCCCAAGAAATATTGGGTTTGCGTTCCATAAAACAAAAGACCCAACAATTTTTGACTCCTCGTCCTTCAGGTGCGATTAAATCTGAAATTTTCGGGAATGGAATTTGAGTTCAGCACATATGACAGCTATTCCGATTTTCAGGAATTTTGAAAGTATATCCCTTTTGGAAGAAGAAGAAGATGGTATCCTATATAGATTAACTCTCTTTTTACAACGAAATTCCCTCTACGTCGATTTTCAACACGTTCCTTGGCATGAAAACAACGAAATTCAGGGGACCAAAAGAATCGTTTTTTTATGAAAAATTTAAATGGAATATAAGTATAACCCATGCCAGAAATTTCGCTTTCCAAGTTTCCAAGCATATTGAGGTTTATTTCCATTTCGGAAGAACAAGATGTGCCTTTTGTAGGTGAACTCTCTATATATTACTGTACAAGGAAATTCTCTCGACATCAATTTTTTACTGGTCCAATCTCCGTTGAACTTCGTTACGTATATAGAGCTCACCTATACACAAAGGGTACTTCTCATTCTTCCGGAAGGGATACTTTCAATTTTTTCAAAATTCGGATTTCTGACATGGAACAAGCTCAAATTTCATTTCAAAATCCCCCCTAGCCAACAATGGATTTTTTTTCTGGACCACTGGAGATCCTTGTAGAGAACTTTCAAGATTTTGATGAAGAACCCCTTGATTTGACCTTAAAAAAATTTGGTTTCACAGAGAAAATCGTCGTAAACAAAATCTTTGTGGAGAAAGTCTACCGTATTTATTTATTGTATACTCAAAATTTTTTTCGGTGGGAAAGAAGTGATTCAAGTAAGCTTTTCCACCATCGAAGAATTTCTTTCATAAGTGCACATTGTTGTAAACTTTTGGCAATCACTGAAGAAATCGGTTTTTGGACGTTTTTATTAATACAAAAAATCTTGAACACGGTACAGCTAATAGTGTATCTTTCACCCAAACCAATCAGTCCAAACATTTAAAATAAAGTAAGTTCATCATAAAATTTCGTGGAACGAAAAGTTCAGGAAAATAATTGCGCAAAATACCTATAATAGTGAAATGAAAGTGCAAATTTTAGAATTTATCCTGACTAATATGTGCATCTAATTAAGTTTATAGGCTTATTATTCAATGCCCTCAGGTGGTCCCTATTAACACAAACGTAAGTGTTTTAAAACCTCGCTGAATGAAGCAAAAAAATTGAATAGAAACCGCAACCCAAAATATACCCGGAAAAAGTACCCCATTGATTTGCAAAATACCGACCAAGAAACACGAAAGCTGTTCTATAATTAAGAAAAAAAACTCGTTATTTACTTCGAAGAACTTGGATCGGAGCGTTCACTTTTTTTCGGCGTAACTCCTGTGGTGTAGTTTTTATTTTATATGCAGTATTTCAAGAGAAAATTGTAGGACATTTTCACATTTTTTCCTCCTCATGAGTTTCTCTGCATGTATAATATTCCAATAAGCGAAGGTTTCTCATCTCACATTGGCCTAATTCCACTTTTTGTCGGATAGCGGCTCATTCACCGTGTTTCGTCGATTGCTTACGATTGAACGCATTACATCACAACAAACTTTTTTCACCGGAATTTCATTGGGTTTGCCTGTCTCACGAACTAGTCTGTTTTTCTCTAGTTTTTCCAAGAAAACTAGGACGAGCATAGCTCAACGACGGCAGTGTAACAACGAGGTCAAAGAAAATGACATGGAAACACTACCATACCAAGTGTTGGTGCTGTTGAGTGAAGAAATCTTTAATCTCTGTGCAGAAATCAAGCTTTACGATAAGTGAAAATTCGCGTTGAATCAATATAATTTTTTCAAATCTCTAAACTCTGAACAGTTCTTGATCATTTAATTCACGGGATGTGCAAAACACAGGATTGTATTCCACTCGGAATTTTATTTCGAATCATTCTTGTCAAGATATCTAACCATTTCTTTTTTTCATCGATTCCGAATAAAAAATAAAAACCAACGGTCAATAGGTTATTTTAGTGACTCCGAAATGCTCGCTAACTTAATTTAAAATCACTTCAAAATGGGACTTTCACACAATAAGGTACACTATTTTCTGAAACCACTCCCACGAGCTTTTCGCAAACTGTTGTTTTTTTGTTGAAAAAGATAAATGGAAGAACAATGGATAATCACAGCGAGTGAATTTTAAAATGTTTTGCCTTAATTTATATGCAGGTCGTTTAAAAAACTGTTTCCAGTCTCATCGTCGTTACGTCGAATTTTCTTTGGTAAAATAAAGTTATTTTTAGTTTAAAGAAATAAACACTTGAGAATCCCCACGCAAGAAGAAACTTTACAATGCTTGATTCAGAGGTTTTTTTTTAATATATCTGATTTTGAAGAGAACCGCTCCTTACAGATATATCAGTGTTTATATTTAAATTTGCGGTATGAAGAAGTATTTTGCACGTCAATCGGCTCTTGGGATGAAAAGACTGCGATTTTCACCAATGCTTCTGATGATTCAAGTCGTTGCAAACTGTGGTGAGTATGTTCACGCGTATATTCAGAAGCTGATGAATTGAAAATATTTATGTTTGGTAATACAGTATTGCACTGATTGCAGCTAAGGACATGGATAATTCTCACATCAATCGACCATCGCCGGGGAATTTCAGTCAGGATCAGGACTTGATTGCTAAAGCAACGATGATCCGAAACCGGAAGGAAGTTGCTCGAATTGAAGGTGGGGTTCCAGAAACCGATAGAACCCAGGCTCCCTATTTTGCCAAAGTTGACCTTTTGGCAAATAATGATACCAGATTCACCGTCGGAGGTGGGACTCTCATTTCCAAGAGGTGAGCTGTTATCTATGTGTATCCTTTTTGATTATAATTGATATACTGCCGGTATATACATAGTTACCGGAAATGAACAGAAAATATATAATTTTAAGTTTCCCTTCTTTTTTTCTCGTTTGGTGTTCCTTGGGTGGGAAAGGATTGGAAAGTTTGACGCACATTTTCACTCAAAAATTGTTGCTTGAAAGTTTAAAAAAAATATATTTTTGTGTGATTCTTTAAAAGTTTAAATCTTGGAAGTTTTGCGTGATAGTGAATAATTTTGCATCAAGTCTTGATTTAATATATTGAATTCCTTTGCTAAAAACTAAAGGAATTTTCATGCATGTTACAATTATCTGATTATCTGGATGAAAGCACTCCATTACAGGTGGACTCCATCTTGAACAATCTTATCTCCAACGATTTTCTCTGTATTAACAATTTATTTGAGTCCCATAGGGTTCTTTCTCCATTTTATGCAGGTTCTGTACAAATAAATTCTGTCAACAAAGAGATTTTCTGATCCCTTGAATTTCGTTGTAGAGCAAGTTCTTTGGGATATCATTGAGTTCAGGAGAAAGGAATGAACTCAATGCTTTTTAGCCTGTTTTTCTCATTTTTGCATGCTTAATTTGATTTGCGATCCTCAAAACAGGCATGTTCTCACAGCATCCTGGTTAGTTGACCCGAATTTCTACACAAACCAGAAGCTAATAATTGCCAGCATTTCTGTCACTATCGGTGACGTCACATCAGCTGTATCGACATCACGTCAGGAATTTGATGTGTCGTTGACGAACGTGATACGGCATCCGAATTACGTCTTACCGACTTTTGACACTGCATTTGACAATTTCGTGCGAAATCAACCGGCAATTTTGCGGTTGGGTGCGAATGCAGAAACCGGAGGAAACACTGGGGTCAACATAGCTTCAATTCTATACAATGCCAACGCCACTTACGAAGGAGAGGAAGTTACGATTCTTGACGTGAATTCAACCAGTAACGGCGAGTATTTATCTAATTTTTGGGAGAAAATATTTTACTTATTTGAATATAGAGAACAAAGTCTAAATATGAGCCATTCTTTAATGGAGTGGTTTTTTAGTCCATTTTTCCTGCGATTTGTTGCCAATTTAAAATGCATGCGGAACTTGGATGGAAAACACAGGCTCAAGTTTTCCACGTTCAGAATCATTATCCTTCTTTCTCGGATTCCCTGAAAAAATTAGCTGAAATCTATTGAGAAAACCAAATAGATGACCTCAAAATACAAGTGGATTATTCTCGAAAATCCAAAATTTCCACTATAATTTTCGATTCAGAGTAATGGCAAATTATTTTGATTTTTTTTAAAGTGGCATAGGTTTTTCTCTGGGAGAAACGTTGGGACATTTCACGTTTTTGAGGAGGAAAATATCCATTTCTCATAAACATGACTTGTATTCTTTTTTCGCGTAATATTTAGGTATCGAACGTTTTGAAATAATTGTGGAGTTTCCTCTGTGGAATGAAAGTATGGATGAGGTAGTGTTTTTTGTCACCAGGTGTCGCTCAGTTTCAGAAGGCTTATTATGTTGGTGTAGCCTGTAATAACTTATTGATAAAGCAAGAGTGGTCATCCTGCTTTCAACTGACGAATACAAACGCATCGAATGTGAATGATCCGGTGAGTTGAATTTACATTTTTGAAGAAAATATTATTTAAAAAAAAGTATCCTTATTGCATCAAAGCTGAAATGGCTTCCCTTGATTTTAAAATCGGCGTAAATCGAACTCAAGAAATTGATCCTGTAACAAACTAAACGTCTACACTTTACAGCACTTCCCCAAGACTTTGTATAAAGTTGCAGATTTTTTCTCAAACTGAATTCTGGAGGCCAAAGGCCGGCTTTAAGAGTGAACTGGGAACATTTTTTTTTATGAAAATGTGTATATGTTCACTGTTCTGCTCAGGGTTCACTAGTCTTAGGCCGAATCAATGCAAAAATACACAGATAAATTTCTTTATTTTTCACCAATTTAAAATTTCTTGTAGCTTGGAAACTCAAGCTAAAGTTTTCAAGTTCAGAATCACTTCTTTTACTGCCCAAATTCCCTAGAAAAATAATCAGCTAAAAACTATTGAAAAAAAAAGCTTAGAGTCCTATAGAATTATATATAGACAACCCCATAATACTGGTGGTATCTCGCAATTTCACCCCAAGTGGGGAGCTATTTTTGCTGTGACCCCACAGTAGGTGCACACCAGGGTCACAACTGGTGCATATGGGATATTCTGGGGTTACAAGTGTGCACTCCTGTAGAGGAAATTTTTCTACCACTCCATGGCTACACTTGGTGCACAAATGTGACTTAACAGGAGTATCACACACATGCACCTACTGTAACCTTGGTGTAACTTACTTGTTTACCAATGTGACCCTGAGTAATTCTGGTGTGAACACACATTTGGTGTACATTAGGGATATGCATTTGCAGCAGAAGAACTTTGGTACACTTCAGGTGCACAGCATGGTTGCTGTGTGGAATTACAAACATATCCCCAGTGTGCACCAATTTTCCCACTTGGATGGATTATACCCTAATCCATTCCCAAACTAGTACCGAATTGAAAAGTGGTCAAATTGCAAGAGACTGTGAAATTAAAAATATTAGTACAAAAATGCAAAAAAGTGGCCAAAGCTGGTCACATTTCAGGGCAAGGGTCAAATTGCAAATCAACCTCCCTGCAAATTTGACCATTGAATTGTGTGACAGTTGAATTTCAGGGGGTTTAATTGCAAGGTACCACCTGTACAAGTGGACTCTTTCTACAACAATCATGTCTACAACAATTTTTTCTGTAGAAGAAATTTTCTTCTAGTCTAATGAGGTTCTTTGGAATACATGTAAGAGCATGAAAGAGCTTGAACGCTGAAGTAGATTTTCACAGATGAAATCTTCTACTCAATGTACTTCTCCTTCTATCCTGACCAATGCCAAAGTGTGTGTGATGATAATGACTTCACACTTGGATGAAATGCTGTATTGCGACATAGGGGCTCTCTGCCACAAAATTCGCCGAACCAGATGAATATTTGCTGCATAGATACGATATCGTTGGAGGGATATTCCACCTGTACTACTCTCAATACCGCGAACTCTTACATATCTGGAATTCCTTCGGAATCACTGGAAAACCCGCAGAACTAGAATAACACTTGAAAAAATGACCTTCAACGCGTTGGAGAAAAACAAAACCCCCAGGCAAGGGCACCGTTAGCCTGGGGAATGTTACTACTTACCTTACCAAATTCCCTTCACTGTGACTACCAAACCACTTTCCCCCGTATGGATCCCCCAGCCTCAGAAATTTTAGCGGGTTTGATACGGAAACTTCGTGTCCGTCCCTTGTTTGGGTGGGCTGGGAGTTTTTTATATTGGGACAGTGAAGGGAATTTGGTAAGGTAAGTAGTAACATTCCCCAGGCTAACGGTGCCCTTGCCTGGGGGTTT